CCGTCCACCTCTTATCTCCAGTTTCTGGCATATTCTCCGTACTAAAAAAAGACTGGAAATGTCTCCGTTCGGACGGTTGCCGAATGCATTGGCTCGCGGGAGCTGTCCCGCTCTCATAGGCCTCGGCCGCGAAGCTACAGCCTCCTGGCATCCTTTCCAACCGATAATAGTAATTTACTTGATCAAGGGAACATTCTTAAACCCCTTTGACCTTGCAACTAAAGCCTCTCAACCTGGTGACGATGCATCGAGCTGCTGAGGCCGTCATGCCCAGACTTACAAAAGCCCGAGTTCCCGCTCCAGGAGATTTCTCGTAATATCTATCAATCTCGTTTGCTGTCCTGCAAGGATCATCATATAGATAAACTCTCCGTTGCAGTTCTCTTCATCATCCTAATTACCTATCAGTGATGTTCACGAGTCACGCACCATCCCGGCTCTTAACACGCTACAGTGCGCGCTGACCCTCCCCCTATAATAACTTGGGAAGGACATGGTCGTTTGCACCGCCTTCGCGAACGAGATTCGAGAAGCAAGAACCGATGCTCTTTGGAACTTTACGGGGCTTGTCTTGGAACTTGACAGTCACGCCTCTATCCGCCCAAGAAATGACACATCTCTTCTCCGCCGCCGCCGTGACATTCCACCCCTGGCTTCCACGAGCTCGGTTATTATGTACGGACAGAGGCAGCCTCTTCTTTCTCGCTTCTGCACTTTCACTCCACGTTTTTACTCAGAAGAGGACGGGGTCTGGGCCCTTGTCAGTATCTGTCATAATTGACACGAGTTTGCCACCGTGGTGTGAGAAGTCAAAGTGTATCGCATTGACGCTTTACAGTTGTGAGGGTTGTAGGGGACTCTTCTGTTGCCTCCCGTTTCATAATCGACCCAGAATGAAAGAATATCGCCCGTGACCGCATCTAAACAATTCATTAGTCCATGATCAGGGGAGGGATGAAGAAAGAAAAGAAAATGAGAGCTACATGATACTCTCACTTCTCCTAGAGCGCCACCATGTCGAGTGTAATGACGACCGTATCAGCCCTTCTGGCCAGGTATCCCCTTTTACGACATCAAAACTTGCGCCAAAACAGATATTAGCAAAGAATAATATAATCTTTTAAACATGGTGTGCATTAAAAACAATGGCCTTCCCTCTACGGGGAACGGGGAAAGCGAGCAGCTCGCTTATAGCACATTATAGATTGGTGGCCCATGATTACTCAAATAATTTCGGGTGTCCACGGCTCTGCCCGCCGCCAATGAGCAATGGATTTATTCCGCTCTGCATTTTCCGCTGACAGAGAGGCCCTCTAACTAATCATAAACAAGGAAATGAACACCAAGTAGGTAGCTAGTGTCCGAAGCCGACCTCTGTGAGCCAGGCAGAGAGAGAGCCCCTACCAAGACGTCGATCCTCGTACAGCTGGCACATCAATATTACGGCATCGAGAGGAATATGCCGGGTGGAGAAGCGCAACCACACACCGTGACAGTTTGTTGCGACTCGTCGAGAGGAGGAGTGGCGGCGCGTCCCTCCGTGCATCACTTGCATCGAGGGTCGGGGCTCGAGTCATTTGCCATCGAGGAACCTAATCTACAATCATAATGCCTCCCATAGCGAGGACGTCCTCGCGGACACATGACAAAACCTGTTCAGGCGCATTATAACAAGAGTTGTCGAGAGATCTGACGCCATACCGGCATCTCCGTGCCCGACGACGGGGTTGGGTCGGCCAAGTGTCACTTGAAACGTGTTGCATATTCCAGCATACGTCGTTACCAGCCACTGTGGCCGGTGGCTGAAGAAAAGTGATGTAGCTGAACAGGGTCTCTTGAGGAACAAGCTCACAACTTTAACTCTGTTCATAGCCTTCTTAGTCTCCCCTGCCTCAGACTGTCTGACCCCTTGGACGGAGAAAGGGAGTTAGCCGATGTCTGTGTCGCTTTGCATTGCTCCCACACCAAACGCTGTAACACGGCCACAGACACCTTGGGGAGAAGAAAAAGATGGGGACCGTGTGCCAGAGGAAGGCGATTGACGGCGATCATCCCGGTGTTACTGATTGATGATGGCTTGATGATCATGTTGCCACTGACCGAGCCAACCATCCAACCATCCATCCCAATGAATGAAGCCTGAGTGAGCCGGTAAGCATGCCGCGGATTTGCGAGATGACGACACTCAACAGGGAAGGCTCTAGTTACTAGTTAGAGCTGGTTATAATTAGACTGGACTGAGTTACTTTTTGTGAAAGCCGCAACGCCCAAGATGCAACGTCGCGCCAACGGCCCGGTGAAAGGGGCAACCACCAAACCCATACCATGTACTGTCATTGAGCCCGTATGGACCTAGGTCGAGTAACTAGGGCCAAACTTGAACTTGGCATTTGGGCAATCCCTGTCGCCAGCCTCTTGAATGGAGTGGTAGCCAAGCCAAGCCTTGTCCCCCACCCGAGATGGTTACTACGGTACTTTGCTCCCTGCCTCAATACACTGAGACGGCCTGGCGAGCCGAGGGTCAAGTCGAGGAGGATGAGGAGGGGTTTGATGAGAGGCGGGGGGGGGGGGCGTTTGG